AGATTTGAAATGCCTAGCTCCTTATCGAACCCGGTGGAAGTCTAGTAGCTTCTTCAAACTATCGCCAGTCATGAAAAGATCCGGTCAAATGACACGAGTTTAGATCTATGAACAAGGCACGAAATGGAAAAGAATCGGCGACAGGCCACATCAGGCCTACACTTCAGAGCCGACATCACTATGTTATGTTATGTTATGTTATTGCGTGGTTACTTCACTTCCGTAATGCATTAAATTTTGAATGTTAGCATACTCAAAATATGTAATACTGTATACTTCTTGCCGTAAAACATTGCATGCTTTGTACATTAGAAACTAAATGATGTAAACAAAGTAAGATCACAGCGAAAAAACTGTAACCAAAATCTTATTTCGAATCACGGGTAGTTTATTCATTGTAAGATACATTTTGGCAGACCATCGCAAAAGTTTTATGAATAACTGCATATTTCTATACACTTTTTGATTACACAGGAGTCTGTATTCCAACCGCTTTCGGTTCAGAGAAAACTTGATACATTGTTAACGTCCATGGTATATGAGTGCTAAGTTAGTAATTAGAGCACAGAAACGTAAAAGAGGAAAGCCTCTAAACTCACAATCTTGTCTGTAAAAATCAAAATATTCAGGAAATTGCTTATATCTCGAAATCTTATGAGAAGAAAATTAAGTGGGATCAGAAGGACGATCATGAGTCATATATGAATATGAATGAACTCAGTGCCGAGTGCTTGGGACTAGTTGGCAATAAGGATCCAGCTCATGGCAACACATTGGCTGATGTGTTGTATTCAGGTCTATAAAAAAATGATGTTGCGGAGCAATGGAATACACGTTAAAACTTATTCATGTATGACGGATTTATTCTACTCAGGGGTTTCTGCAGTAAACCTACGGTGTAGAGAACCTGCAGTGAAACCACAGCGAAATTAGCCTACATTGACCCCTGGTGTTCTTACCAAGTTTAAAAACCTGTTTTGATCCTTTTTACAAGACTTCTCTTTAACTTCACTTCTTGTTTGTTTGTCTGTCTGTCTACTACAAATCTTATAATCGATATTTAACACACTTCTAACTGTCCAATCGATCTGAAATTTTGCACACTTGCGTAAAGTTGGAGACAATGCATGAATCAATTTACAGAATAAATAATTTTATAAATTGAAAAATAAAATTTCATCATTAAAAAAAAGGAAAAAATAATTTCGTCTGCTACAAATCTTATAATCCATATATGACACAATTTGACCTGTCCAATTGATCTGAAATTTTGCACAATTGCAAAAAGTCAGAGACAATGCATGAATCAATTGACAGAATAAATAATTTTGAAAATTTACAAAATTTTGATATCATAGAAAAATTTTTATAAATAATTTTGTTTTCAATATTTGAAAATAAAATTAGAAATTCATCGTACATGTGTAACATCTAAGACACTGGACTGTTCAGAAGTGTTTTCTTTAAAAAGTAATTTTTAAACGCATATTATTATATATTCTAAGGTATAATATATTTAAGTCTCCTATCGTTTGATCTTGTTCACAAGCAGAAATTGCTTGTGTTCAGTTCATGACTATAGTAATATGACCGGTAAATTTATTACTTATTCTAGCGTATAATATATATAAGTCTCCTATCGTTTGATCGTGTTCACAAGCAGAAATTGCTTGTGTTCAGTTCAAGACTTTAGTAATATGCCCAGTAATTTTTGTATTTTTTCTAGGGTGTAATATATTTATATCTCCTATCATTTGATCGCATTAATTAAAAGATATTGTTTGTGTTCAGTTTAAGATTATAGTAATAAGCTCAGTAATTTTTTTATATTACAAGACAAATATATTTGAGTCTCCTATTGTTTGATCGTTTTCACAAGCAGAAATTCCGTGTGTTCAGTTCGAGACTATAATAATATGCTCAGTAATTTTTTATTCATTCTAGGCTATAAATATTTTAGTCTGCTATCGATTAACCGCGTTAACTAGAAGATATCGCTTGTGTTCAGTTTAAGATTATAGTAATAAGCTCAGTAACTTTTTTTAGATTCTAAAGTATAATATATTTAAGTCTTAATGTTTGATCGTGTTCACCAGCAGAAATTGCTTGTGTTCAGTTAAAGACTATAATAATATGTCCAGTAATTTTTTTATTTATTCTATGGTATAATATATTTAAGTCTCCTATCATTTGATCGCGTTAACTAGAAAATATCGCTTGTGTTCAGTTTAAGATTATAGTAATAAGCTCAGTAACTTTTTTTCTCCCATCGTTTGATCTCCCATCGTCTGATCGTGTTCACAAGCAGAAATTGCTTGTGTTCAGTTCAGGACTATAGTCATATGCCCGGTATTACTTCATTTATTGTAGGGAATAATATATATAAGTGACCTATCGTTTAATCGCGTTAACTATAACATATCGCTTGTGTTCAGTTTAAGATTATATCATAAAGCTCTGTAACTTTTTTTATATGCTAAGGTATAATATATCTCAGTCTCCTAACGTTTGATCGTGTTCACAAGCAGAAATTGCTTGTGATCAGTTGAAGACTATAGTAATATGCCTAGTAATTTTTTATTCATTCTAGGGTATAATATATTTAAGTCTCCTATCGTTAGATCGCGTTAACTAGAAGAAATCGTTTGTGTTCAGTTTAAGATTATAGTAATAAGCTCAGTAACTTTTTTTAGATTCTAAGGTATAATATATATAAGTTCCCTATCGTTTGATAGTGTTCATAAGCAGAAATTGCTTGTGTTCAGTTCAAGACTTTGATAACATGCCCAGTAATTTTTTATGTATTGTAGGGTATATTATATTTATGCATCCTATCTTTTGATCGCGTTAACTAGAAGATATCGCTTTTGTTCGGTTTAAGATTATAGTAATAAGCTCAGTATATTTTTATACTCGAATGTATAAACAGTATAATATATTTAAATCTCCTAACGTTTGCTCGTGTTCACAAGCAGAAATTGCGTGTGTTCAGTTGAAGACTATAGTAATATGCCCAGTACTTTTTTTTATTTATTCTAGGGTATAATATATTCAAGTCTCCTATCGTTTGATCGCGTTAACTAGAAAATATCGCTTGTTTTCAGTTCAAGGTTATAGTAATATGCCCGGTAATTTTTAATTTATTCTAGGGAATAATATATTTAAGTCTCCGATCGTTTGATCGCGTTAACTAGAAGATATCGCTTGTGTTCAGTTTAAGATTATATTAATAAGCTCAGTCACTTTCTTTATATTCTAAGGTATAATATATTTAAGTCTACTAACCTTTGATCGTGTTCACAAGTAGAAATTGCTTGTGTTCAGTTGAAGAATATATTAATATGCTAAGTATATATTATTATTAGCAGAGCATCAGAGTATTAGCAGAGCATCAATCAGCTAGAGAATCAGTGTGGTGTGAACTTACTCGAAAAGGCAAAGATAGCCTTCTCATAGGGGTAATTTACAGATCACCTAACAGCTCCTCTGATAACAATAAAGTACTAAACAGCCTTTTACCGAGCATGTCATTCAGCAGGTCGCATACGTTGATCATTGGTGACTTTAACCATCCAGAAATAGACTGGGCAGATGAATCTTCTACAAGAGATGGGAATCACCCAGCATCCTTGTTCTTGGAGTCTGTGCGAGCCTCATTTTTAATCCAGAACATCACCAAGCCAACCCATTTTAGGGGTAAACAGACCCCAAATATTCTAGATCTTGTGTTTACTAGTGAAGAATCAATGATAGATGAGCTTCGCCACGAGGCTCCGTTGGGCAAAAGCCACCACCAATCATTGTTTTTCAATATTAAGTGCTGTGCAGAAAAGACGCTTCGGAAGCGTGAACGTTTGAACTTTGCGAAAGGCGACTATGATACACTCCGTGAAACGGTGAATGCGGTGAATATTTCGGACTGTATTAAGGACATGAATGTCGCTGATTCATGGTCGTTTCTCAAAGACACGGTTATGTTTGCAGTTGATGCTTGTGTACCCAAGATTACGTTTGGTGGAGTCAAAAAGTCCCAGTGGATGAACAGTGCAGTTAAGACTCAGCTAAAGACCAAGAAAGAAGCCTACAAGCGTTATTTACGAACTCGCAGCGAGTCTGATTATGACCTGTATGCAAGAGCTCGAAATCAAGCTAAAAAAGTTTGTCGCACTGCAGTGAAAAACTTCGAAAAAAATATTGCCAAAAAATGCAAAAAAGAATCTGAAAGCCTTCTTTTTGTACGCTAGTTCGAAGTGTAAGTCAAAGGACGGTATTTCTGATTTGAAAGTAGACCAACGAAAGATTTCCTCTGATGAGGGCAAGGCTAACGTTCTTAATCAGTTCTTCAGCAGTGTGTTCACAGATGAGGACTTGGGGCCATACTTTCAAAACTGGCTAAGTGAACGTAAGTAATTACGCTATATGTTCTTGTCTATGATTGGTGGCTTTGGCTTGAAATGCCGTCAATGATTGGCTGATGAACTTACGATCTCTTAACTTTTTTTGAAAGTATAGGCCCTGAACAGTATTCCAGATATTGAGGAGCGCCCAGTCGGCTCGAAGTTAACATGCTTTGAAATACACGAAGAAGAGGTTCTCAAGCGCCTGGTAGCTCTAAATCCCAACAAGTCATGTGGACCAGACGGTTTCCATCCCAGATTGCTCAAAGAATTAACAACCGTTCTGGCCGGCCCATTGACAGTATTCTTTCAAAAAACCTTGAACGAAGGAACTTTGCCGTCCGACTGGAAAGAAGCTCAAGTAACACCATTGTTCAAAAAAGGTGACAAAAGCAGCCCCGGCAACTATCTCCCTGTCAGTCTGACAAGTGTTGTTTGTAAGCTAATGGAATCTGTTGTGAGGGATAGGATTATCGATCACTTGACTGCTCACCATCTCATATCAGATTGTCAACATGGTTTTATTGCCTGAAACTTGCTATAAGATTTTTCTTTAACTTCCCTTCTTGTTTGTTTGTCTGTCTGTCTGTCTGTCTGCAACAAATCTTATAATCGATATTTAACACACTTCTACCTGTCCAATCGATCTGAAATTTGGCACACTTGCGTAAAGTTGGAGACAATGCATGATTCAATTGACAGAATAATTAATTTTATAAATTAAAAAAAAAATTTTTTTCATTGAAAATAATAAAATAATAATTTCGTCTGCTACAAATCTTATGATCCATATATGACACAATTTGACCTGTCCAATTGATCTGAAATTTTGCACAATTGCAAAGTCAGAGACAATGCATGAATCAATTGACTGAATAAATCATTTTGAAAATTTACAAAATTTTGATATCTTAAAAAAATTTGGAAAATAATTTTTCTTTTCAATATTTGAAAATAAAATTAAAAATTCATTGTACATGTGTAACATCCAAGACACTGGATTGTTCAGAGGTGTTGTCTTTAAAAAGTAATTTTTAAACGCATATTATTTTCAGTTTAAGATTATAGTAATAAGCTCAGTAACTTTTTTATATTCTAAGGTATAATATATTTAAGTCTCCTATCGTTGATCGTGTTCACAAGCAGAAATTGCTTGTGTTCAGTTCAATACTATAGTAATATGCCCGGTAATTTTTAATTTATTCTGGGAAATAATATGTTTAAGTTTCCGACCGTTTGATCGCGTTAACTAGAAGATATCGCTTGTGTTCAGTTTAAGATTATATCAATAAGCTCTGTAACTTTTTTCATATTCTAAGGTATAATATATATAAGTCTACTAACCTTTGATCATGTTCACACGTAGAAATTGCTTGTGTTCAGTTGAAGAATATATTGATATGCCCAGTAATATCTTATTTATTCTTGGGTATAATATATTTAAGTCTCCTATCGTTTGATCGCGTTATCTAGAAAAAATCGTTTGTGTTCAGTTTAAGATTATAGTAATAAGCTCAGTAACTTACTTTTAAGATTTCTCTTTAACTTCCCTTCTTGTTTGTTTGTCTGTCTGTAACAAATCTTATAATCTATATTTAACACACTTCTACATGTCCAATCGATCTGAAATTTGGCACACTTGCGTAAAATTGGAAACAATGCATGATTCAATTGACAGAATAATTAATTTTATGAATTAAAAAAAAAACATTTTTTCCATTAAAAAAGATAAAAAAAATAATTTCGTCTGCTACAAATCTTATAATCCATATATGACACAATTTGACCTGTTCAATTGATCTGAAATTTTGCACAATTGCAAAGTCAGAGACAATGCATGAATCAATTGACAGAGTAAATAATTTTGAAAATTTACAAAATGTTGATATCTTAAAAAAATTTTGAAAAAGAATTTTTCTTTTCAATATTTGAAAATAAAATTAAAAATTCATTGTACATGTGTAACATCCAAGATACTGGATTGTTCAGAAGTGTTGTCTTTAAAAAGTAATTTTTAAACGCATATTATTTTGATAATGGATATATATTTTGTCCAAAAATTCTTGAAATCTTATCCCATTCAAACATCCTGGTTATTTATTTCTTCTCATTTTTGCTGTTGCAGGACTTGCTGGACTACACGAACTTGCCGCAGTGGCCGCGGCTGCTGTACGCAACAGCTTTCCTGTACACGGTGGTGCAGGAGAGGAGGAAATACGGCGCTCTAGGATGGAATGTTGCCTACGAGTTCAACCAAGCGGATTTCCAAGCCTCTGTACAGTTCATACAGAACCATTTGGATGACATCGATCCCAAAAAAGTAAAATTATTCTACTAAAACTATATTGAAATGATTATGTTCGGCTAATAATTTACGGATTTTCTAATTTGTTGAAATTTAACAACGGAAGAATCTTTTATGCCATCAAAAGCTCATGATGAAAGTTAACATAATATGTTAGGTATGGTTTACGGTTTCGTTGTTCAGTGACGAGTTTCATTAAAAGCAGTAATAAATTTCTTGATTTATGCTGTTATGTTCCTCGTAAAAGTTTAAGATTTGAACATATTGTAAGATGTCCGTGTTCTAATTATTGTGAATAAAATTTTGTTTTCTACACAAGTCACAGAGATAAGAACGTCGTGACACGCATCCTCAACTTGCATGTTCGCGATTTCTGTCTCTGTTTCAATGTCTACGTTACTTCTGAATTTCATCAAACAACAATTGAAAATGCAATTTTATCGGAATCCAACTTGCCGGTTTGAATTGAGCAATAAACGAAAATTCATTCAGGAGACATCAAATGTGTCGGCCTCAGGTGTGAGGCACTGAAAGGTCAAAATTTGTTTTATTTCCTAGGAGTATTTAATGCAGAGGGTGTCACGGGTGATTGGTCTTCATGCCGGGTGATCTTTCTTGAGAGTATTTTTTTTATGCAAAAGGTGTCGTGGGTGACTGTGTGCTACATGTTGGGTGAACTTTCTTACGAGTTCTTTTCTTATGATGCAGGGAGTGTCGTGGGTGACTGTGTGCTATATGCTGGGCGAGATTCAGTTCGGTGGGCGCGTCACTGAAGACTTCGATAAGAGGCTCCTACTGACCTTCATGCACGTGTGGTTCAATGAGAGACTCCTGACGCAGGACTTCAGGTGCAGCACTTCTATGGCATCATTAATTTTAAGACTGTTGATTGTTGATATAATGCAGATTACCTTTCCTGAATCGCTTAGTTTGTGCCTTATATTACATTTACCTTATTAATATCGCCATTTAATTCAATTGAATTTACATTGCGAATTGGTTCTGAGTCTGGAAATTTTTCGAAATTTTAGTTATAAAATTGATATATTACGTGCAGTTGCATTGAATTCCAAGCTTTACTGCACTGCAGGTTCTATGAAGGTTATGGGCTGCCCAACTGCCGTAGTCAGGCTGACTACCTGGAGTTCGTTTCTACCTTGCCCGCCTCTGACTCGCCCGAGGTGCTCGGCCTGCATGCTAATGCAGATATCACGTGAGTGGCGGTACCTGCTCTCTGGGATGAATTATATATTATTATAATGAATTCTATATTATTGTAATGAATTCTAAATTATTGTATTGAATTATATATTATTGTGGCGAATTCCATAATATTGTAGTGAATTCTATATTATTGTAATGAATTCTATATTATTGTAATGAATTCTATGTTATTGTAATGAATTCTATGTTATTGGAATGAATTCAATATTATTGTGGCGAATTCCATAATATTGTAGTGAATTCTATATTATTGTAGTGAATTCTTTATTATTGTAATGAATTCTATATTATTGTAGTGAATTCTATCTTATTGTAGTGAATTCTATATTATTGTAGTCTTCATCCACGACTTTTATCCGGGGCAATTTGAACTAAATTCACGATTAAACACTCCGGCGATGTTTGGTTTGAACGTTGATGCAGACATCGCGTGAGTACAGTGGACATTCAAATGCACCCCAAATAACATGGCCTTCTTTAAGCTTCAAGGATTAATGTGAGCGTTTACAACAACATTTTTTTAGAGATGAAGGTGTTTTTTCAACAAAAAATTTTGGAATGTATCTGAAGGAGAAGGTTCATATATTCTCTGATTTTTATTCCATGTTAACATGAGCCCCAAATTCTTTTCATTCGAAAAAAAAACTTTATCTAATGCCATTTAATTTAACTTTGTGTGATAAGTGCAGCAGAAACTCGTTCTCAGCAAAAAGTTCCCTCATTTCAGGTATTACATCAACACAGCCAAAAACATCCTTCAGACAATACTGAGTATCCAACCTAAGGAAGGAGGCGGCCAACGGACTGGGGAGACGAGAGAGGCAGTAGTTTACGCGCTGTCTGAAGACATGCTTGCCAAACTCCCGCCCGACTATGTACAGCACGAGGTGTGTTTTTTTGCATTTATTTACATTTTTCCGCTTACTTAAGGGAGGCGTTCAGCCTTGGAAATCTAGTAAATAAATAACTTTTCGAAGCAGGTAAAAAAATCTATCAGAAAATATTGAAGGATATTTAACTGACCCCGCTTTTTACAGGGTGACACAAAAAAAACAGAGCTCACTAAAAGTCTTATAACTCCTGAAATTTTATTCAGTTTGAAACAAAAATTCTATGGAATTATGTACAACCTATGTCTCTGTAGTCCAAGGCATCTCGAAGCTCACACGTGGTAGACTCTTAGATCAATCCGTCTTCTTAATGAATCTGAAACAAATAACAGGATTACTTGAGTATTGTGGAAATTATTCAACTTTTTATGAGCTCTGTTTTTTTTGTGTCACCCTGCATAATCTGTGTTGTTGACGCATGTACAGTAAAAACTATTTGAAAAGCCCCTCTTTTTCAAAACTTTCATCATAACTTTGAAGACATAACTGCAGCTTCTAAGCCCAAGCACCTCTTTTTAACTTTACTTCAAATAGCGTTTTTTACAACACTTCTCTTTACCTTCACTTCTTGTTTGTTTGTTTGTCTGTCTGTCTGTCTGTCTGCTACAAATCTTGTAATCGAAATTTAATACACTTCTACTTATCCTATCGTTCCGAAATTTTGCACACTAGTGTAAAGTTGGAGACAATGCGTGAATCAAATGTCAAAATAAATGATTTTAAAAACTTACAATTTTTTTTCAATATTAAAAAAATTGAAAAAATAATTTTGTCAGCTACAAATCTTATAACTGATATTTAACACACTTTTACCAGTCTAATTGATCTGAAATTTTGCACACTTTTGTGATATCAGAGGCAATGCATGAATCAATTAACAGAATAAATAATTGAAAAAAAAATTTATATATATTAAAAAAATTTAAAAATAAATTTTCTTAATTTTCGAAAATTAGATGAGAAATTCATTGTACATCTGTAAGATTGGAGATACTGGATTCTTTGGAAGTGTTGTCTTTAAAAAGTAATTTTAAATGTATATTTTTGTAATATATTTGATGAAATTGTAGAGACGCATGACTAGTCTTAGACCCTGACTCGTTTAAAGTTCTAAATCAATTTTCTGGGCTGCTAAGTGTTATGAAAGTTTCATCAAATTATCGGAACTGAACCACTCTCATAGGTCAAGGAGGCGCTGCAACGAATGGGAGCTATACTTCCCATGAATATATTCCTGCGACAGGAGCTCGGCAGAATGCTTCGGGTGAGTAAGCATTGTAGCTAACTCTATTCAAACTTGATTTTAATGGGATTTAAGATAAAAACCCTCGATTTTACGTTGAATTTATCTGCAAATGTTATTGAAGCAACTACCGAGTTTTGCAATGAGACTAACGTAAGAGGGAACGAACGGAATGAAAATAAGTCATAATAAATGGTTGCCACTTTGAATTATACTTCAGTAATCAAGTCTCACTCAAGGTTTTGCGCACTGTTCGACAAACGCTCCAAGACCTTCAGCTTGCTATTGAAGGCACAATTATCATGTCGGCTACGCTGAAAGAAACACTCGATGCCATGTACGATGCGAGGCTTCCTGAAAAGTGGCGTAAGGTGAGAATGAGAGGAAAAATCATGCGTTTGAAATCAAGAATTCAAGTATTTGGCTTACAACGCGTAACATAGAAAGTAGGTATGCTGGAATAGGCGAAGCAATTCATCACTCGAAGACATTTTAATACCATATCAACAGTTATCTAAGTGGGGTTACTGGGGTAACTAAAGTTTTGTTGAGCTGAAAATATTTATGCTTCATCGCAAACATTGAGTCGACCTTCGGCCTCATTTTTTATAGTAAACTGGGCATTTACAAAAGCTAGAAACATATTGAAAATACTTTTACGTTGTTTTATAAAACTGAAAAATTCTTTTTCCATGATATTGATTGCTGTAGATTTCGTGGGAGTCGAGCACTCTTGGCTTCTGGTTCACGGAGCTGCTGGAGCGCGACGCACAGTTCCGGCGCTGGTACATGCATGGAAGGCCTAAAGCTTTCTGGATCACGGGCTTCTTCAATCCGCAAGGATTCCTCACGGCCATGAGACAGGCAAAATCTCATTTAAAATTATGTAATATAACAGCAAACAAATAGCCATGTGTTGGTAGTTCATTTTGATTATGCGTGATGTATATATAAGTTCATGCTATAATATTAGCTGTGTGAACTTGAAGTTTATGCTGTAATATTACTGTAGTTGCGTGAGGCGTGAGGAATGAGGGTGGATCAAAGGGTTTGAGATTGGATTTAGAAGTTACAAACAGCCGTCCCTTTCCTAGTTAATTAATGTAAATATGTATAATGTGGGTTGGAGTAAAGAATATGAAGGTTCAATTTCTTTATTTGATGGATTGAAGAATGATGGTGCCGACCAACACTTGCATACGTGATGGTCGTAAGAATAAAGACATGACATAGCATAGCAATGATATGACAAAATAGCATAAAACAATTTCGGAGGAATATTGATAGCAAGCGGTAATTCCGTTTCGAAAGTTAGCTTTGAAATTAATTACATTATTAAAATTACATTATAAGAATTGAATTCTAGAGAAGAACTTGGCAGCTCACTCTTAACAGTTCACGCGTCTATGCTGACCAGAAAAATTAAGCTAATGCATGACGGCTAATGTTGCCTGCTGGCGCACACTAAACAGAATTCACAATTTTTGAATGACCCTTTTTAAAATCTAAAAGTATTTTGTCGTTAACTGAATTTTTATTAATCAGAATTAGACGAATATTGCTCATGCATGAAAATTGGTAATAATTTTTATTTGATATTTTACAATTGCATAATAATGATCATTGAAGTAAATAGTTCAATTTTAGCTAACAAGGTCTCATTAAGCCAAAAAAAATGGTGTACAACGAGCTTGGGGATTTAATAAAAATAATTATTATGTACACAAGAAATGATAGTGCGAGTTGTGAATTCGAGTCACTACGGGTGAAGGTTCATACTAATTTAAATCAATGAAGTTTATGTTCATGCCATAACTTTAGCTGGATGAAGTGGACGTTCATGATGCCTTTTTAGCTGCGTGAAGGGGAGATTCATGACTAATAACATGATTCTCAACGGAACAGAATCTAAATCTGGCAATTTCGCTTAATATCAAATGAGGAAATACGATCCATAACTTAGGATTAAATCACTACTAGGACTGAATTATATCGATTAATTCCCGTAAAGGAAGTAACGCGGCAGCATAAAGGCTGGTCGCTGGACTGCGTCGTCCTGCAGAACCTCGTGACTCGCTTTACTCGGGAGGACCTGCAGGAGCCTCCACCTGAAGGAGTCTACGTCTACGGCCTCTACCTTGAAGGGGCCGCTTGGGATAAGAAGAAAGGCAGGCTCATTGAATCGAAACCAAAGGTGGGGATTTTAAGAGGTTGTTAGCAGGTATTTTCTAACGTTTTTTAGTCGTCATTGCTCGATTCAGGGTCGCAAAATTTAAAATTTAAGCTCTAATTTTGCTAAATTATGGAATAATTGTAGTTCAATCATTTTATTATTTTTTTAACTTAGTTCAATCTTTGACAAATATATCCAGTATATATGATTTATTTAAAGTCGTAAATGATTTTAAGTCATGGGTGAATAATTGAAACTGGCATCAATATGCAATGGGACTTTTCGTCTAACTAGTTGATGAAAGAATGCCGTTATTGATGCATAATTAAAATTTCCCAGTCAATTAGTGTATTATGCTGGTGAGAAGAATTATGATATGTTAAAATTCGTTCAGTGCGTTTTATTTATTGTTGTCAATCTGTCAATTTTAGTAGGTACCCATTATGGTGCCAATCAAAACTAATATTTTGGTAAGCGTATAATAGCCTTAATTTGACTGCAGGTATTGTACGACCCTCTGCCAGTTGTTTACCTCTACGCCTTGAACACAACTTGTGGCAAGAGTCCATCACTTTATGAGTGTCCGATTTACCGCAAGCCACACCGAACAGATGCGACTTACATCGGTTCCATTGATCTCGAGACAGACTTGCCTCCTTCTCACTGGACGTTACGAGGCGTAGCTCTGCTGTGCGACATCAAATAAACAAAAACACATTGAAGATCATTCCGTCGCATCATCTAAAAGTTTTAGAAAGCTACACGTCGTTTGAAATTATTGTTACACCGTCTCACTTGGTGTAAAGAGAGCTCCGTCTCCACATAAATTCAGAATTTATTTTAGAATTAGGAAATGGAGCTATGTGGCTAAAAAATAAATGTAAATCAAATGTAAAGCAAAGATTATGGTCTATACACCACCAATATATTTGTTTGAAGTTTGGTAGTGCTTTTTAGAAGCCTGGTACCGGAAGTATGTAGGGCTATTTGGGAGTATATCTGCTACATTTATCGTGCTGGCATGAGGCCAGTCAGATTGGAAAAATAATATGGCATTGCATTGGACAATATTAAAAAAGTTAGCGTATTAAATTGATATTATACATTTCATTTAGATGGCAAATCTGAAATATTTTGTCACATTTTGTTGCGGGAGTCGTGGAGTTTAATGCTCTATGTAAGTTTGAACGGGTCCTTTATGAGCATACGTTAGTTTTATTCATAGAAACGGGTTTCTGAAATTGTAGGAATCATTCATTCCGGGCAACATCGGGATAACATTCGTGTAATTCATAGATATCAATTGCTCTTTGTATGTTATATCTTTATTAAGTATTAGCAGTTCTACTGTAATTGAATTTAATAGAACCTACGCGATGACTTAGTAATTGTACGTTTTTTTTTTCTGTGAAACAATAAGGCAGAGCAGGCTTCTTGTGCTTTACTTAAACGAAGAGTTTTCTTAACGTAATATAATCAATGGACTACGGAAAAATGTCCCACCCTTTGCATGTGACAGAATACTGGAAATATTTATTACGGTCTACTAAAAATCTAATAATATCCAACCAACACTACCTAGTTAAATCTGTTCATGCACTTGAATATATGTCTATCATTTATTTCAAACTAGCCTTAATAACTGTAAGCTCAAATGCCAAAAGAACAAAAAATATATTCAAATTAATGCTGAATACAAACGAAATCAAGAAATTTTGTCTTAATTGATATTTATTTTTAAATTTTAGGATAATTGATATTTATTATCAAGTATCTCATACAATTACATCATACAAGTGAAGCCACTTAAACTTGTTTTGGCTTATAAGCAAAGGTAGAATAAGAGGGGATATATTATTACCACTACTTTCCGTGTGAATCAACTTGCCATGGTAATAACTTCTCAATTCCAATATTGGGCTAACAACATTATTAGAACCTTAATGAATGATGATTTGAATACGAAGTACTCGTATAACCCAATGCTGATGAATAATAACACACTGTAATTTAATATTGAAATATATTTATTATTAAGTTAATAATCGAGGCGTAGCACGATTGACAGCTGAATTTTACCATTATTTTATTAAAAAATCTATCACTATCATAATACTATCGTAATAAATATATGAAATGACGAATATTCTTTTCATTAAATGCTTCTCGTTATGAAATCGGCTTCAAAATAAATTGAACACTCGTAACTAAGTTGTTGCTCGGACAAATTATTTATCCGAAATGAATACCATGCCAGCTAGCTGATCCCAGCGCTCGTTTCACTGCTGATAACGGCTTAATGACGTCTGAATAATGCAACCGTTGTAAGCATAACTGTACAATACATGAATAGCATGAATAGGAGCCATGATCTTAAACATGATAAGTTCAATTAAATATAATTAAACCAAGAGCTAACTGAAATGTATGGTTCAATTTTTTAAGAGAGCAGGTATGATAATGAATGATGGAAATTGAACATTGAATTGTTTAGATCACATTTTTTTCGTCATTTATAGGGTTTGAAACCGATCGTCCTTAAAATAAATTACATTAGGAACTAGGCACTAATACTACAAATCCTCACTAACCCTAAGTTTAAAAAATTGCTCTCGAGATCATGTTCACTATTACCTAACAGCCTCTTTTTCTCTTATCTAAGTAAAATTGACAGCCTAAATAAATTATTGGTCGTTTAATGTTCATAAAGGGATTAGTCATTTTAATGAGTGCTTATTGAAGGCTCAAGTTCCAGCTACTAGCTGACGTAATTAGGTGGGTGTTGCTGCTTGCATCAGTTGCTCACAACTGCATCATACTCTTACAAAACTTCAGGTTGATGGAATTATTCTAACATACTGATTATTGATATTAAAAAGTCACGGTTCAGTCTAAGGCACATCTGGAGGATGTTTGAAACTACATGGGCACTACTGAGGAAGCCATATTGGATAAATTCTAGCGCCAGCACTCAAGATATGCACGCCATAGATAGCGGCAGCGAGTGCAGCATGAAATGAAGTTAGGTAGTAGGTAGTAGGGTTAGGTAGTAGGTAGTAGGGTTAGGTAGTAGGTTAGGATAATGCAAGGGTGATGAGTGAAGCTGACGGATTATACTCACTTTATATTTTAACGGCCTAACTAACACTCAAAGATTCATATTGTTTGGTCTGGGAAGAGAAGGGCACAGATGAGCAGAAAGAATGCATGGTGCAGCACGATTGACAATTAAATTAAATAGGCCATTCATTCTTTCATGATTTTCTGACAGATTAAGTGTTCACTGCATTGCCAACTCGTTGAGACGTTTTTGCTGTTTCTCCTTGATTATCTGGAAAAATAATTGGACTATGAGTGGAACTGCAGTGCTGGCAACTTAGTGTCTACTTGGAGGGAATTCCTATTTAATGGAGAAGACAAACTCTTAAGCCACATGTTACCGTTTTTGCAAATGCAAAACAAAACCAGATTTTTGCAAATCACCACACAAAAATCTGATTACATTGGATAAAAAATTCAACATAACAAAATTTGGACGCATCAAAAGGGGCTAATTTGAAATGGAATTCTGGGACTAATATCATTATTACAGAATACTAAAACTAGCCAGCTTGATTTTTGCTGGTTCTGCATGGTGATGAGAGTACCTATAGGTCAAAATAATCACCAATTTCGATGGGGAAATTCAACTACATTTAAATGGACATAATATAAGAGCATGTTTTCTAATTATCAAAGCCTTCCGAAAAATTCACCCAATGTCTTATGATTCATCTCCTAATAGAAATAATTGGTGTCCTGTTAATACATTACTTATGAGACAAATTTGCTGATCAGAATTAATAAAAAAAACACATCAGGTTTATTGTGATTTTTTACAATTCATACTGCTTTGCAGCAATTGCGGCTATAAACTTGGAATGTAATTTTCACAGCAATTGATACTAATCAAGCATTAAAATTAAATAAGAACTTACCTTCACTGTTTCGGGGAAGAGCTCACAAAATATTTTATTATCTAGATTAAACTGCCAGCTTTTGATGGCCATTTCTTTCCTCTCTTCTACTGAAGCGACAATGCTACCAGTCGTGGGGGCCTCTTCAAGCTGAAATCAAGTTTTCTATTAATTTTTGGCAGAAATCTATACAAAAACTCAACAACTTGGGTATTGAGTTGTTTAACAATAACATAATCAAAGGTTTATAAGATAATGGTGTGCACAATGAAAGTTCATTGTGCACAGGTTTGCATATCTAATGCTCTAATTTGGATCTGATTTTTTTGGACTTAAGTAATTTACTAGAATGAAGTCACACACCATGAAGGAAAGGAGACCAGTGAGGATTGTTGCTGGAGACCAAGCAGGGTTCCAACGGCCAGGATGAAAATCAGACATGGAAAGACAAAGTCGAGTGTCGGTCTTAAAACGACCAGAGGGAGTAGTCATCAGGATACTGGGTGGTTTGAATGGGTACTCCATTGGGAAAATCAACTTGCCATGGTAAAACCCATCATAGTAAGGACTGTCTTTTGGACCTTGCACCACATAATGCCTGCAATGTTGTGCACAGAGGTTAAATTCAATGGAAAATTTTGGGAACTAACTAGCTCCGAGGTACAGAAAATGTGAACTTCCTCCAATTTCAGATTGTACAGTTGAAGATATTATCTTAGGGCATCTATTCCATGAATGATCACAATTCACAATCAAATTATGTTTAATCAATATTAAAAACTTTCATTCATTATATATTAGTGGTTGATGACAATGAACTCAAATATTGTGGAAGCTTTTAACTTGAGTCAATGTTTACAAAGCATTATCTGTTGATGTATGAAAAATAGCTTCAAAACCAAGTTTTTTCCTTCTAACTAGTGCAAATTAAAAATTTTATCATTTGTCAGATGTCTCATAGTTAAAATTTAGAACAAATATATTAGCAAAACAGGTACACAACTACAAGAATAAATGACGTGTAATACTAGTATATAGACAATATTATGTTAGTAAAATTCCAAATTCCTGGGGTCAGAACTAAGTTTATTCAAAATTTTGAACCTACCACTCAAGAATGTTGGATGGTAAAGGCTCTGCATTGATATAGGGTATCGGATCTGTTTTCATTCTCAGATAGTCAGAGCGCAAACGATGATTTGCCACAGCTGAAATTTTACTCATTTTGCTGATGGTCACTCTGAAACAGAATGAAATATTAAAGAACAGTTTCAACAATAATTCACTGTGTGGTAACAGCCAATGAGAAAGGCCTAAAACAAGTAACAGTCTTGCAGGAAACTTATTTCCTTGTGGTGTAGGAGGCACAATGAAAATCCAAAAGTTGAAGATCATTACTGCAATCCAGAGATGAAGCAAAAAGGGATATGAAGGGATATATTGGAATAAAAAAAATGAATGCAAAAAATGGATTCTTGGAAAGTAGCTTGTAAAGTCTGTACACACAAGTGCAGAAAAAATAAAGGAGATACAAGAATGGAAAATGATGGGTGTTGATATAAAGTGGATTTGAAAAATTAGAGCATTGGTTTTCAAAGTGGGTAGCCTGTGGGCAGTGGAAAGACCTGGGGGGTGGTGAGGAAGAAGGGGGCGGTAGGGGGAGGCAGTGCTGAAACGGGGTGCATGCCAAAAACTAGATAAAACTAGCTATTTCAAACTTCACACCTAGTTCATATATCTTTCGATACATAAGAATGCTAGAGGGCATAACAGCCTATGAATTCAAGTGCTCCGAGCCATAGCGCCAATGTCCACAGCCACAAAATAAGCTTGCTAAAGATAAGCATGGCCATACTGCATCTGACCAAACCTCTTCCAGCCTAACCTGTTCAGACATAACCTACACAAGTTGCAACATTTCTTCACACAAAACAAACCTGAGCAGTCCAAACCTAACCTCATTGGCAGCAGACAATTAGAAAGGCAGTGTGCTGGTAGAGCCAGTCATTGGCTGCAAGAAGGTTGTGAGCCAAGATAGCATGAATAGGTTAAGCCAAGGTTGGTACAGCTGGATGAAGAACTGTTTGCTTGTGAGCAAGCATTCTTAAGCATTGGCTGAAGACCTATGGTGCTATTTCTTTCTGCTGTGTGTTGCTTATCTGGACTACAGAGTTCAAGCATGGTCTGCAGCTATTAGCTCTGAGGCTGAGTTAAGTTAATGCATGGAGAAGCTGTGCATTTCCTCCAGAGCTTATCCAAGAGTAAATTTTGTGGCCTATGGCTGCACCCCCACGGCCCCACTGAAACAATTAAAAACCGGTCGCCTGCCAAAGACCACCACTGCCTTGGATGTAATGGACCATCATGATTCCTGCCTTCTGCAACTTAGCCTTCAACACTTCAAGCAGTCTGTATCTAGGCCATGGGTCGAACCAGCCCTCAGTCGAACAGCCACTTGTCGCAGGACGATAAATTTTGGAACAGAACTATGCTATCTGAAACCTAACCTCAGGTGCAGACCATGCGGTGAACATAAAATTACGTAATTTAACGATGCCCGGAAGTCATATTCGATCCACCGCCTGGTGGTGCACCGTAGGTGGGTTTCCAGTCCATACGTGCAATGGTTGATGTTGATGATTAATTAAATTAATTGATTTAGTGCACGGCAGGTTCTATGCAAGGCCGGAGGAGGACAAAGCCGAGTGGTTCACGGCTGATTAGTGGATGTCCAGAGAGATCCAAGGCGTTTGATTCAGGGCTTATTGGTGCACAAAATTGGTGGTGCACAGCCATAGTGGCAAAGCAGAGAGTTTTTTAGACTCTTCCTCAAGTTCATTTTTGAGTCCTATAAGTAGTAAAGTAGACCAGTAAAGTATCTTGGATACCAGAATTATCCTACATAAGAAATCTGTTAAAATCTTGAGTAAATGAGGAAATTAAAAATGAACTGATTCTAAAAAATCACTGGTTTGCCACTATAACTGATACGTATTGCCAACATCCACATGTTCGAATTCCGTTTGCTGTGTGAGCTGTATTGGGATACAACACGGCTTTGAATTAGAACACTAACGAATATTGAACACTACTTAATTACGTTTTAATTAACAGCTATTAGGCTTTTAATTAAGCAAATTTCAATTTTTGTACAAAGCTTTGAACGATCTGTGTGTGTCCAATTCAAGTTATGTCGGAATCCAACATCTCAACTTAATCATCTATTAATTTATTTACGACTTGAAATCAGCAAATACAAGTATACTTAAAGGATTCCTAATATATTCACAGACGTATTTAAAAGTCTCAAACCATAATATTCTTCCAATAAAAACAGTTATTCACTATTTGGTAGAGGCCGTAGAGTATAGTGGCAAAGCAGAGAGTTTTTTAGACTCTCCCTCAAGTTCATTTTTGAGTCCTATATCCTGGATACCAGCATTATCATACTTTAAAAATTGGTTTAAATCTTGAGTAAATGAGGAAATTAAAAATGAACTGATTCTAAAAAAGCTCTGGTTTGCCACTATGCGCGTAGAGCCATGTCAACTGTCAAATTTGACACATTTTTCGATGATCTCACCACGTGGCATGCATTGTCTCTCTTTGGATCTCAATATTTTCCCGCTAGATGGCCAAGACCTAGTGTTTTTGCAGTATTTCGACACGAAAATGTATGACGTCACCATTTCAACCATCAATGAACGCATGGAACTAAAACAAAGCTTAATATAAAGGAAAAACTAGAGAAGTGACAGAATTACCTACGATGTCGGAATATACCGCGTTTACCCTATGTGCACGGCTGTGCTCCCGTCACACAGAGCTGGGATCAAACCCGTGCCTCTCTGCGCCAATCATGGTACTCTGAACAGACTTATCTGTAACTGTAACCACTGGAAAGGGCAGAAGAATTAAGTGCCACACTGTGATAAAAAAAGGAAGAAGTGTTAATGCAATCTAACACAGAAAAGAGATAATGTAATCAAACACTGGAAAAGAAAAGTGTCACAATGTTTCAAACAGAGGGAAAAAATATAACGTGTTCAATTTGGCAAATTATTTGTCAAGTCAGATAAATGCACATTAAGAGGATAAAAATGTCTCTACTTTTTCTATCCAACATTTCTGACAAATAGTTTAATCAAATTTGAAGCGAAGGTATTAGCCATGGCTCATGGGTCTGTTCCTTCATTGCTGACACTTCTATTCTATTAGTCTGTTTTTGAAAAATATAATTTCTGGTATATTTATGGTATTTTGAGCTAGACAATCTGGAATTCTCGCTGTGAAAAAGTTGGCAACAATGCATCCTAAATAAACGGAGGTTGGACCTTGGAGTTGCCGAGTTGGAGGATCGTCACGAAACTCGAAAGTGTCAGCCCTTCAACAGGCTCTAGAGTCTAGACTCTAGAGTAACTAGACGTAGAGAAACTTGAACCGTTGTCGAGAGAAGACGTGTCAGCAAACCTCTCTGTTCTCTTGTATACTGTGTCCTGTGACTGTGTCAGACTGTCAGTGTTAACAATCTCTCAGTGATGATCACTGGACTGACAATACACCTGAGAGCCAAGATCTGATTGACCCGGGTGCTTCACCAGACGCATCACGTCTAGATTTCACGATGACAGACTCTCAAGTCAGACATTTCTGTGAAAGTGAGATCGCCGGCGGAAATGATGCGACTCCTTCCAGTTCCAAGACGGCGACTTGTCAAACTGCAGACGCAGAGAAATACGTCGGAAACGCAAGAGTCCGCCCATGCCAATTGGAGATACGTTGGGAGTGATCAAGAAGAGGCCTAATACCAGAATAAACTCAACACCTATTAAGCAATCAAGTGATTATTCAAGTCAGAAGACCATCACCTTCTTCTTCTTCTTTTCAAGGTGTCCACGTTGGGTGGACTGAAAGCCACAGGACAGCCGCAAGGGTGACCGTTGGGCCAGAGAGCTTATGTTATGTTGGACTTCTTGGTAAGGAAAGCTGGCCTCTTTGTCCTTGTTTGTACAAGGTCAATAGAAGTGATAGATGAGCTTGACAGCATGTAAGAGAGAATTTACACATGACATGGATAAGTTACATGCACACGGAACACAGATGACTGTATGCAGTCACTCAGAAAAGTTGCACATGACATGATCATTGCTCCTCAGAACTGAGCACTAGATTCAACAGTTAAGTTAGATAGATTTATATACATAGAACGACATAGATTATGCACGTACACAAATATATACAATATACATAGATACACTTGTACATATATAAGCTTTGTTTTGATATTTTGGCACCTATCTAAAGTTCACTGAGCCTCCCTGATTTCAAAATGAAAACAGTCAAAAATTGAAAGATTTTCCTTTGCACATCATCATTAAAGTTCCCTCCCCCCAAAAGTTCACACAGGGAGAATTGTACATTTATACATCTTAAATTAGTTTCCAGGTCTAGTCTTGGCTGCGCATGTCGCTGACAATGCAGCAGATAGTGCTCAATTGTGTCCAC